GGCACATAGGCATAAATCACTCAAGAACTTGATGCGTGAATGTAACGATATCTTGGGAGTCCGAGAGTACCGTAACGTTTGTTTCGTTTGACGAATGTAGAAATAACTGGACAGGCTTATGTGTAATGTGTAATTGTCAACTGCGCCCTCGGTGAGCAATATGTGACGTCACATGATAATACAGTAACGTCATATTGGCATCTACCACTAAGCATTAATTGTAGACATAGGATGGTAGTGCAACAAGCAAAATAGGGTTTTTGTTAAGGTTGTCAATTCCCTGTGTTTGACAAAGGTTAGTGTAAATTCCGTTTTTATTTATAATTGTTGGTTACTACATTATGTAGGCCTACACGATAGGCCTATATAGGCCTACGAAACTCAACATCGTCATTCACATCCGCAATATATCGTAGATATTATGATGTCACACTATGGTCAAACTGATCGATTATGGATAAAAGATGCATCAAAGGCTCCTTATAGTTAGCCAATAAAACGTTAACAAAAATCCTAGGGCCTAGGCTAGAAGAAGGTTTTTGCTGTCAGAATACCCGTACGCATCTGTATTTTAATGGCCTTGCCACTCCTTAAATACCTACCGTATTGTGTAATAACATTGCATTACGACCAAACCATTGAATACATAATAAGCCGATTCCAAGCTCAATGAATATCCATATTATATGGAGCCTTGACCTGTCAATAGCTTTTTAAAATTTTATTAATCGCCATTTAATAATTATGCGTGTGGAGTCCCTATAGGCCTACTGTATGTATCATTCCTAAGCATAAGCCTTTGAAGCCCAAATATTTTGGGGAGTTTCTCCCACTTTCGAGTTCACATATCAAGCGCCCTGATCGAGCATCTTACATTAGATGGATATGTGTGCTATATAAAACTACACTATTATTATTATTACTTTGCTCTCGCCCCCACCCCCACTATCGGGCAAATCCTGGCGCCACCCATGGACCTGTAGGCGATGTTTAGTGAAAGAGTGGACAAGAAGAAATGTTTGTTGGATGAGTTAATTTTTCTAATTTGTATCTCATCAATGGAATTTATTAAATATTATTTTACATGATTGATTATTAAAAAGTTTGTATATCTAAATTGACGCAATTCAGTGATATTTGTTTTTGAAAACCAGAAATGAATTAATAATATCATCTGTTAATTTAGTGCCAAAAAGAGCATTGATTTTGCTTTTACAGCTCAGAAAGGTGTTATTCACTGGCCTGTTTATTAAGCTTTCAACTGAATCAGTTGAAAAGCCATGGCATAAATCACAAACATCACAAAGAAAATGTTTAAGTGAAGCTAAATAAACTTGAATCTTGGTCGACATCTTCAGAAATTATGTAGATATGTATCAGTGGGCTATCCAGGGAGGTATTTTCCCTGGAAATCCAAGGACACTTAAGAAATTGTTTTTGTCGCATTGGAAGTTTCAACTTTTATTTTATCTGTGATAATCCAGGCCCGTAGCAGGGGGTGCGTTTTGCGAGGGAAGCCGCATTAAGTGCATGACTTCTGTATTTTTATTGAATCACAAGTTTAAGAAAAGTAGTCTGTGACTTTTCTTAACATGGAATAAGTAACAGACCGCTATAACTAAACGACTATGGTACCCGGGTATACCATAATGTTGTTATTTTTGGTAACCATAACTAAACACTACAATGGTTTAGTCTCTGCTCAGTTACAATTCAAACGATTGATTGTTCATTTCCGGAAACCACGTAGTTTGTTGTAGTCTCTTTGCACTATGTTGCAACCTCATGTTCTGTTCATATTCAGAAATATTTCTTATGCAATAAATAATTTATTTATGAATAGCTCTATACAGTGAGGTAACGGAAGTCGCAGAATCATTCTCAGCATTTAAACCTCTTAGTGGAATTACAATCAGCTGATTTTTATATCACCTGATTCCGACTAACGAACAATTCATATTTTCTTCTGGTGTAGGCCTCACATGATGTTGTTTGAAAGGTCGTGTGCCTAAATTAACTGAAAAGGTGCAGTATACTGAAGTATAGACGTGCTAAACCTACCAGACGATGCTTCCTGTTTACACACTGCTTGCTCAATGATCGAAAAGATTTTGTCTCTATCCTTTTATATATAAAACTGGTGCTTTAAAACAATGTCGGACGGAGGATTGGTGCGATCAAAGTCTGACATGGAGACTCGAAAAGTAGAGAAACGCAACCCGATAATCATTATACCAGCGATTCTGGAAGGATTTTTTACGACGCTTGTGTATGGTTGGCCGTGGTTGGTAACGGTTTTAAAACAAGAAGGTTACTACAGTCAATTGTGCGACTCGCATCCAACATCAAATACAACAGCAACTATCAGTGACTCTTTACATCTTGCCAGAAGTAGTGGTATTAGTGGCGCTAGAAGTAATTTGTACACGTCTTGCTCTGCACAAGATCAGAAACTCAATCTGGTCTTCACTTTGGCCTCTTCTGTGACACTTGTAGGATGTTTACCAACTGGAGCCATGTATGATCTTCTTGGACCTAGGAAGATTCGACTGATTGCATGGTGAGCGTGTTTTCTTTAATCGCACGACCATCATATATAT